TTTTTTTTTTTTTTTTTTTGCTTAAATACCTGAAAATATTGTTTGAACTTTTCGTTTATTTCATTTTTTTCTTTTTTTTTCTTTTTTTTACTTTTTAACAATTATAAATTGGTCAGCGAAAAAAATAGAAAAAATGATATAGAAGTTCAAAAAAAGTTTTATTTTTCTTCTTTTTTGCCTAAATTTTTTCAATTTTGAAAAAACGGAATGAAAAAACTGAAAGAGTTTTGTTCTTGCCTTTCTTTTTCGTTAAAATAAGCGAAGCCAAAAGAAAAACGAACAAAAATTGAACTGAAGCAAACTAAAATTGTACGTAATATATTTTTTTTTTCTGTAAACGAACGTCTTTGTTTTGCCTTTTTCTTTTTTCAAAGAAAAAAAACGAAAAAAAGAAGCAAAAAAGAAAGAGCAATAGTGTTACACACATTCGTTTCTTCCTCTTTCCCTTGTTTCTGGTTTGCTGTTGTTGTTGTAGCTGTTGTTACGCTTTCTATCCCCCTGTTTTTGGCTGGAGTTTCCGCGTGAAGCATACATGAGGAGAAGGAAAAAGTATTACATTACCTTTTAGGGAGACAGGAAGATGTACCAAAGATGAGTACTAAGAATCCAGAAAAGTAACCTGATAGCTATTATCACCACAATTTGACCGCCTCCTTTGCGCCACCGAAAAAACGCTGTCGGTTCGGGTAGTTTGTTCCGGCTGATGGCCGATTGTCGCGGTGGGATATTCCGCAACGGATTCATATACCTTTGTTACTTCAAAGCTCCTCCACCATAAGGCGAAATAAATCCAGATGGCAGCGAAAGGTAAAAGAGAACAATTCAAAGAAAGATTTCTATCTTCTTCATTGTCATTATTGTCTCCTCTATCTTCCACTTCTTCTATTCTATTTTTTTCTCATTGTTCTTCTTCAGTGATAATTTGGCATCGTATTTTAGTGAAAAAATAAGGTGGTTTTTTATTCAGCCATTAATTTTTTAAAAAAAAGATGATATTCGTTAAACAATGTTTGTTTGTTTGTTTTCTTTTTTTTTAAAGGAAAAAAGGGAAAAATATTTTTTTTTCTTGTGCTAATAGTTCATTTTGTCAATTTTTTTTCGTTTGCCTTCTATAATTATTCAAACATTATAGGCGCTGTTCATTAAAAGCCATCGAAGTTTTGTTGTTCATTTTAGCCCATCAAATTCAGCAATAAATCATTGTTGCTGTTGTTGCTATTTGATGGTTAGATTTTTTTTAATTTTCAAAAATTTTTCGTCTTCGCTTAATCACAAAAAATCGATTTTAGTTGTTCTAAATTGTATTTATATATTAATTTGGAGAGGAAAAAAAAGCCCGAAAAAACTAAAGTCAAGCAAAAAAGAAAAATGTATATTATCAATAATAGAACAAGAAAACCTCCAGAAATACTGTTTTTGTTGGATTTAAAATAAACAAAACAAAAAAACATGAGTGAACCAAAACTGCTTATGCGCTTATAAGCATTGCTCATTACAATAAAGATGATAAAATATTTGAAAAAGCTACAGCACAAGAATAAATGAAATCAACCTTCCCAAATATATTTAAAAATATATAACTATACACACATATGCACTAAATTTTAACAAAAACAGGAGAAGAAAAATGAGTGTGTGTGAATGCAACTTTACAAATTGGAGTCATAAAACATTCAAAGCTGTGAAGTTTTTAGCATCTGCCTTCTACGCCCACAATAAAGTCATCTTTTTTGTCGGCAGATGGCTCATTTTCTCCGCAGAGGAACAACAGCGGCAAGGAGAATAAAAAAAGAGGAAGAATGAGCAGCGAAGGCCAGAAAAAAATAAAGAAGAGAAACCTTTTGGCTATCCTAAATCCTTGATCTAATCTTCGCTTCCTTAAAACCTAAAAAATCAGTTTTTTTTCTTCTTTTCTAAAAGTTTTGGTTTTGATTTCAGCTTGGACATTTTTTAGCTGTTGCCACAACTCAGTTCCTTAACCCATACCGATCGACCTCTTGACTGCTCTTCGTCTTAGTTATCCACCAACAACTTCAAATCCGTCAGCATCATTCCCATCAACCTTACCATCATTCTTCTCGTCATTACTGTCATATTTCTTCATTGTCTTAATTATTTTTTATATACTCACTTTTGCTGTCTTTTTTTTTTCGTTGACGTTACTCTTTACAATCTTCGTCTTTAGTGCCTTATTTATACAAATTATTTTAAAACTACGACATGAAAAAAACGAACTAAGCTGTAAAGATAAGCAGCTATAAAGAGTACAAAAAAACCTTTCTACACTTATAGTACAATTAAAATTTTTAAAAACAAATTAGTGAAGTTTTGCTTGAGTAAAGTCTGTTGAAAAATGGTTAAAACAAAGTTTACTGTTGATGATGATGATGATGGTGATGATGATGATGACGAGGATGATGTTGGCGGTGGTGGTGGTAGTGATGGCAAGACTTGTTTCCTTACTCATTGATTATTTTTGTCATTCTACACGAAGCTCAAAAATAAGTGAGAAAAGTGAAAAAGCAAAAGATAAAAACCATGT